TAAAGAGCATACATTTACTTCCATAGAAAAACACAATACAATACAACACTAGCTGACGTTTCGGCAGTATCGTCATCTTCAGAGCCGCTTTTTCGTGACTTCCAATGAGGAAGTTTGGAACAGCTGATTATAGTCGCATGTGGTTGACGACTCGCACTCGACGACTAGCAATTTAATCATCAGAATGGCTATAGTCTAAAATACATACCACTTCCATAATGGTTACAACGGTGATTCCATCTGTAATAATGTTCAATAAGGAGATCCTGATACGAGGAGCTGAAATTGAGACAGGCACAACTATCCGAGAAGATGTTTAAGCCAAGGGTATGACTCCTGTTATATAAATCCGCGAAGCATCTTCGTTAGCTGTATAATGGATAGAGAGCGCTCCACTGCAAATAGTCAAATATTGAATTGGTAAGAGCGGCATTTCGGGATTTATAACAATGTTTGTTTTCGTTTAGTTGCAAAGTGAATGCTTTTTTTGCTGTTTTTATTTACTTCACGTCGTGTTTACCTATCCTCCGATCGGTTTATTTCCTTATTGTGGCCGGGAGATGTTTCCGGATGTCCGGCTGCGATGTACAGAGAGAGGATTCATCACCCGGAAAGGTCTCCCAAGCTGAGAAGGAGTTTCCACCAGGAAGCCCAGCTGAGAGTAAACCAGTACAAGGATCCACTACCGTCATGGTATCAAACTAGTCGCATAGTGGCAAATCTCTCTCTGATTAACAAGGACGGCGACTGGCTGCGGTGGTAACGACCTGGGGAAGCCTTTGGCCAGGCTGACCTCGAGACTCCAAGAAACCACGAGGGTTAACCCAGTAGAAGTCTGAAAAATGGACATTATGAGCACAACCAGTGAGGACGGGGCGTCCAAGTATACAAGCAAGTATGTTTGCCTATTAAATAGAACCTTTTTGTCTGTTCTCACTCACTATGCTTATTCTGCTCATATCTACGATTTTACGAGTTTTAACAGTAGTTCGGAAAAGGTGAGTTATAGCAAATTTGATTTATTGGACCTCGGCTGGTGCTGAGTTTGACTACATTTTTTCCAGATCTTCCCAGCACTAACATTTAACACTTATCTTCCTTACACTCTTGAAGATACTATTGTGATTTGTAACAACTTGACTTTGAAATATCACCAGTAAGAACACTGTATTCCAAGCAATGTTCAGAGTCTTCATAACTACCGTGAAATATTGAAACTGATAGCCAAACCCAAGTGTTCTTACTTAGTATCATACATCTCTTAATAACTCGAAAGATCGACTTTCTATAAACTTCGGCATAGATGGTTGATATATTTATTTATGTGATCTTATAAACTGATCTTCTTAAGGTGACGCGAGATTGGTACAGATCTTCGTTGTCGTTGTCGTTGTTTTTGATGTTACTGATCGATGGCAACGTTTCGGCGACTTCGCCTTCCTCAGAGCCTGGACGTATTTTATGTTAGAATACTTTTTATTATTCGGTGGAAAAAAAGGTTAAAGTATTAATGAAAATCAAACTTTCAAATAGACGCCATATTGAACAGAAAGGCCACTCACCGTGATATTACGTGCGGGACTGACCCACACGTAGTTTACGTGGAGTCGCGAGCAAGACACGCCCCGGGGTCAAAATATCATTTTGAAATACGGCGCCAGGTCACGCGTGACAGTGAGGCATTCGTCCTTCCGGTTCATCTTTGGTTTTTTGAAATTTATCCAAAACGCCTCAAGAGTTTTGCGCGTTGATGTTTTTGATTCCTGCGCTAGGAACCGCACATTCGCTTCAAAATCATCGCCGTTGTGCTTTTGTGCCCAATGCGTACCTAGAGGGGTGTTTAAACGGATTTTAGCTTTTCCATCTAGATGTTTTTTATGTGGACACAAAGTGGTCTACCCGTTTCCCCGATATATTCCTCGCCGCATGCCTTACATGAGATCAAGTACCTGTATACCTAAACTCATGCAATCCCCGTCTCTCCCGTTGGGACAGATCATGCAGTTTTCTGAGCTGCACAAACGATCATAGAGACGGTTTGATGCCGTAAGGTATTGGGCGGCAGCGATGATTTTGAAGTGAATGAGCGGATCCTAGCGCAGGAATCAAAAACATCAACGCGATCATAGAGACGGTTGCGAACTAACTGGCGGCGTAGTGTATTGGGTGGGATGTCAACAATCGTTACATAGTTTTTAAGACCACTTTTTCTTAAGCACTTTTTAATGGCGTGACTTACTTCATTTGATATAAAGGCCAGCTTAAAGGGGATCCTACTTTCGTTTGAAATATTATTTTGAGAAACTACCCACTGTTTTCCTCTAACCCGAGTGGCTTCTACTTCGTAGCCATTGAAAATGGCAATTTATCGTGCCAGGTTTCGCGATTCCTTCCTTTCCTCTTCTCCTGTACACACATTTTTAGCCGTACGATACATATTTTTGATAAGTGCTTTTTCATGTGGGAAGGATGAGAGGAGAGGTAGTGAGCTAGAATGTTTTTACTACTTGGCTTTCGATACCATTTTGTTATATAGCCACTTGCTGAGAGCTTTATTTGGATGCTTAGGAATGAAAGCCAGTTCTCAGTAGGTTTTTCTCGTGTAAATTTTATATACTCTGACTGTCGGTTTAACAATTCAAAGCACTCATCCATCTGTTCTTGTGTGGAGCAGACGATGAAGCAGTCGTCTATGTATCGACGGTAGAGTAAGGGTCGGTGATCGAGAACTGGAGCTTCCACCTTAGACATGAAAGCGATGACAAGGGTTGGTGCTAAACGCTGCCCCATCGCCAACCCTCTAATTTGTGCAAAATATTTTCCAGACCACCTAAAGATTGAACAACTAAGACACTGTTTTAAGAGGGTCATTAGTTGCGCAATCTACAAGCCGTGCATTTTTATTTTCTTTTCATGCTCTACGAGCAACTCGAGAATGGCTTGCATTGCGAAGTCATTGGACACGTTGGTATAAAGTGAACTAACATCGAATGACTCCATTATATGCGTGCTGTTTGGTTCCGCGCGCCTTAGGTGATCTAGAAATACTTTGTTGTTAGGTAGATGGGCTGGGACGAATTTTAGCAGCTGGGTTAGGATAAGGTTTAGGAACCACGTTATTCTATCCGTTGACCCGCCTATACAACTGATGATAGGCCTAACTTTATATGATGATGGGTTCGTTGATGTAATATCATCAGTATGATCAATATCAATATCGTTGAAGTAAGTTTATGTGTTTTAATAAGCAAGTAAAGGACAGGGAAAATCGGGTGTTCGTTCTTAAGTCGAGAATTAACTGAATGCTCGAAATCCGCGGCCCTTGCCGTGCCCATTCTTGATTCAATTTTCGGTATTGATTTCTGTATTCCTTTTCAGAGGATGTTCGATAGAGAGAAACATCACTGAGGCGCTCCTCTGTTATCCTAATATCCAACTGACTAGGAAGAACTACAAATCCTCCCACGACCGACTTTCTATTAACCTCGGCATTGATCAAGTGATTTTGTTCGTATTTTTTGAGCAAACGCAAGGTGTTACTGTTCTTTGTTCACGATTAAGCTGACGTTTCGGCGAATTTCGCCTTCTTCAGAGCCTGGAAAGGTCAAGTTGATAGCAACTCACTCGGCCAGACGCCTCCATAACCAAACAAAGAAACCCCAAACCAAGATTTCAATCACTTTGAACACAGCTTTGCACACTCACCGCTTTCTATGAGGTCTCCACTAAGTATGTCACGTAGAGACCAACCGCACAGAAATCACGTGGAAGTATAATGTGCCCCTCACATCAGAAAAGCAGTTTTATATACTGCCCTATATCACGCGTGATAATGAGGCATAATGAGGCATTGATAATAGTTTTATATACTGCCCTATATCACGCGTGATAATGAGGGATTGATAATGCCTCATTATCACGCGTGATATAGGGCAGTATATAAAACTGCTTTTCTGATGTGAGGGGCACATTATACTTCCACGTGATTTCTGTGCGGTTGGTCTCTACGTGACATACTTAGTGGAGACCTCATAGAAAGCGGTGAGTGTGCAAAGCTGTGTTCAAAGTGATTGAAATCTTGGTTTGGGGTTTCTTTGTTTGGTTATGGAGGCGTCTGGCCGAGTGAGTTGCTATCAACTTGACCTTTCCAGGCTCTGAAGAAGGCGAAATTCGCCGAAACGTCAGCTTAATCGTGAACAAAGAACAGTAACACCTCGCGTTTGCTCAAAAAATACGTACAAATTCTCCGTCTTTATCACTAATAGAATGTCTAACAGATTTTGAATTCAAAAGCTCTCTAACCTGGCGCATACCACACATTTGTTGGTTTGTGAGGTTCGAGCTTCTTTTTCGTTTTTGGTAGTGATTAAGTATGCCGAGAATTTCCTCTAAAAATAAACGAAATATAGGGTCAATATTGCTATTTGGTAGCTCTTGTTTAAAGAAAGTTCGGGGAAAGGGTATTTCTCCCTTGATACTACTTTACCTAACCTTTCTAGTCTAACCCTGTAACGTAGCTGATCTTGAAGTTCATGTAGACTACACGTGATCCTGCGCAGGATTGGTTTAGAAATGGGTTGACTAGGTGCAAAACTCGGACCCAATTCTAACAAGGAACGCACATTTTCCGGAAGCGTTATACCTCCTAGCACAGTAACTCTGGATGTTCTTGGTGCGCAGTCTATTTCAGCGTTTTTACTTGGGACTTGACCAGCGGTGGTCCTTTGATTTGACCTTTTTGAGCGGCGTGATAGTTCTTCAAACTTTTTCCTTAACTTGCTCTTAATATCACACCGAATCTTTCCGCATACCGATTTAAACCCAGCTACTATTCTCTTCCAAAGATTTCTTTCCAAATGCTGAGCACGATGGTAGTAAAATGAAACTACTACGCATTTCATTGCGGCGCACACAAAACGAAATGTTTTCACTATTAAACAAATGTGTGTACGAAGAAAACCATTGTGCTACGTACTGCGCAGCCCAACAGCGCGTGCGTGATGGAGTCCTTCGACGTTACCGGCCTTTACGTGTCGAATGACTCCACAATGCAAGCCATATTCGAACTCCTTACACAACACGAAGGAGAAATAAACATGTACGGCTTCAAGAGAGAGCAGTTGATGGCACTCTTAAAAGAATGCTTGAGCTGCTCAAACTTCAGATGGTCCGGAAAGTACTACGCTCAAATAAAAGGGTCGGCAATGGTACAGCGACTGACACCAAGTCTTGCCATCGCGTTTATGTCTAAGGTGGAAGCACCGGTGATTGATCTTGGGCCGCTACTCTACTGTAGGTATATAGATGACTGCTTTGTCCTTTGCTCAACAGAAGAGGAAATGAACAAATGCTTTGAGTTGCTGAATAATTAGTCAGAGCATATCAAGCTCACTCGAGAGAAACCGAAAGAAAAATGGCTTCCATTCCTGAACGTCCAAATTAACCTGTCAGAAAATGGCTACATTACATAGTGGTACCGAAAGCCAAGTAGTAAAAATATCTTGGTTCATTACCTCTCCTCTCACCCCTCTCACACGAAAAGGGCGCTTATAAGAAACATGTTTCGAACAGCAACCAACGTGTGCACGGGAAGATAGCATAGACAGGAGTCTCGGAACTCGGCAAGACAAATAGCCATTTCTAATGGTTACGAAACTGTAGCTAGGGATAGGTGTAGGAAAAATCGTAGGCCCCCAAACGACAACTCTAGCGATAAAAAGGTCCCGTTTATCCTACTCTTCATCTCAAATGATATAGGTACTGCTATAAAACGCTGCTTAAGAAGGGCGGGTCTAGAGAATTCGGCAAACCTAGTTGAAGTGCCACCAAGTACTCTTAGTCGCTAGCTAGTTCGTAACCGCGTATATGACCGTCTATGTGCAACGCAAAATTGCATAATTTGCCTAAAGCGAACGGGTGAACATGTGTGCACAGGAGAAGAGGAAAGGAAGAAATCGCAAAATCTGGAATGAAAAATAGCCATTTCCAATGGCTACGAAGCAGAAGCCAATCGGGATAGACAAAAACGTGGTGTAATTCCCGAAAGTAATGTTTCGAACATAAGTGAGATCCCTTTTAAGCTACGTTTCATATCAAATGAAATAAGTTACGCCATTAAGAGGTGCTTAAGAAAAAGTGATCTTGAAAATTATGTAGCAATTATTGACCTCACACCCAGTAACCTACGTCGTCAAATAGTTCGCCACCGCCTCTATGATCGTTAGCGCAGCTGAGAAAACTGTATGATCTGTCCTAACGGGAGAGACGGGTATTGCATGAGTTTAGGTATAATATACTTGATCTCATGTAAGGCATGCGGCGAGGAATATATCGGGGAAACGGGTAGATCACTTTATGTCCGCATAAAAGAACATCTAGATGGAAAAGCTAAAATCCGTTTAAACACCCCTCTAGGTACGCATTGGGCACAAAAGCACAACGGCGATGATTTTGAAGCGAATGTGCGGTTCCTAGCGCAGGAATCAAAAACATCAACGCGCAAAACTCTTGAGGCGTTTTGGATAAATTTCAAAAAACCA